AAATAAAATAAATCTTTATATTTATTAGCAATACAGTATAGCCTCTCATGGTGGACACCTCCCTATGAACAACAAGTGCAAGTCCTAATCCTGTTTTTAGACTAATGTCAGGACGTACACTAGCTACTACATCTGCACCAACTCCAGCGTCTGGATCAGCAGCAGATATGGTTTCTACATGTGCTTCACCATCTAGAGTAAATGATTGAGATATTGAAAAAAGAAAATCAAAACTATTTTTATTGATTTAGGTTTTTTATAATCAAGCAAAAAATATACGGCAAATTGAAGTTTCTACAATAAGTGGTAATATGGGTATTCTTGGTATGTAAAATTAAAAATGAAAAGATATTTGATTTCTATTTCTAAATCTTTTTTAGCTCATCAAGCACCTATTCTTAGTGTACTTAAGCCAGGTGCTGTCTCTGGGTTTCAATCACATGGAAATACAAAAACGATTTTTTGGTAAATGAAGTTGTTTTTTCTGAGATCATATCGATCTATACGAAACTCAAAAAGTTAGCTGATTAAATTGAAAATAACAGAATGAAGAAGCTAGTCTTTACATTTGAGCTCAAAAGATAATTAATTCAAATGACATACATTTTTATTGATTCCTAGACACTGAAATGTCGGGCAATATTTTTTAATAGAATTTTTATTTATTGTTTTAGTGAGTAGTGGCTTAGTTGGTGTTCATCCAGATTCAAGTATTCAACTATTAGCTGAAAAAGCAACACCTATTGAAAATCTTGATTGTAAAGTAAAACAAAATCTCCTTACAAATAAATGAAATTATTATCTGTTTTTCTTTCCTATTATTTTAGGCTACCCGAAATGCTCTATCTGAAGCTCAAATTGAAATTGATTGTGCTTAAGCTGCTATTAAAGCAGCCTCTGATGTTTTTCAATAAGTTTTATAGAGAAAAAATACGAACAGTGTGTCGGTTATAAAGTTTATTTAGTTATTTGCCCATTTGGTTTTTTTTGCTATTTAATACAAAGCATTATATTCAACTAAAACAGATAAATCATGCAGTATTGGTGTCGAAATAGGAATCTGTTTCGCTCGTTGTGTACTAAAGCATTTAAAGACAAGTTGATCGATTGTTTGTCGGCTTGTACTTTCGTTTGATGACTTTGTTCGAGTTGCAGACATAATCAAAGCAGAATTCCTCTCGACGATGAAGAATGTCAGTGACACTTCTTTTTGACACATTGTATTTGTCGGCTAGTTTAAGCACTGACAAACCATGATCATTTTGATTATCTTTGATAAGTGCAATTTTTTGCTCCAGATTCAACGCTCATCGATTTGACATGATGCTATCTCTCTTTTATGATAATAGTGAAATGACGCAACTGCGAAAAAGTGATTACATGTATATCTGTCTCGCCTATTTTACATAGCGGACGTGTTCTTTTTTTATCACTCAAACATTTTTCTCTGTCATTTGACCGTCTAATCGATAAAGAAGAATCGTGGTGCTGTATGTAATTAGAGTTATCGCTGCATTCTCTTTAAAATAATAAGTAGTGTTCACTATGCAGAGGTTCAATTACAGCAAAAATCGCTCCGTCGGACTCCGAAGTGTCCACTATAACGAGGTGTTCATTATAGGGAGGTGTCCACCATGAGAGGCTATACTGTATTGCTAATAAATATAAAGATTTATTTTATTTCAAATTTATCGAGTTCTGTATAATCATAATACAAACTAAGAGAAATATAAGAACTATTTTGGATTTGTTTGAAATGTTCACTCTAATTTAATTTTTTTTAATTTAGAAAGGGTGTGGGTAGGGTATCGCTGTGGGTTTGAGTGTGGATAGTGAGTGCGGGTGTGAAGGCGAAGATACGACTTATAACTACACCCGCACTCACCCATACCTACATCCATATTCACCCGCGCCCACATCCACACAATGTGTATTTTGAAACTTTGTCCTTGATTCCGTGCAAACGATGAAATCAAAGATGAATTTTGTTTAGCAATCAACAATCTTGAATAATTTGATTCCAAATCAGTGACGCTTGTATGAAATATATTGTTTGAATCCATCAGTTTCTTTCAATAACATGAGATTTTCATCAATATAAAGCTTTCGTGTTGGATCGAAACAGTTTTCAAACTT